CCCCAAAACCCCAAAACCCCAAAACCCCAAAACCCCACTGCTATGTATTAAAAACATTAATGATGCAGAAATTGAATTAAATTGCATACATGTTTGAGCATCTAAAGATGTAAATAATATATTGAGATTGGTTGATTTGAGAAATACTTATTATATGAACGATTTGAATAATTAATAAAAGCTTCATGGAATGTAAAGCCTTCACTAAACTTTTGGGTAGTAGTGAACGTCAGCTCGCTGAATTGCTCATTTCTTGGCAGCCTTCTTGGTGTCCTTAGCGGCGGGCTTGCTCTCTGCCTTTTGTTTCTTTTGCTCTTTGGGAGCGGCAGCCTTTTATTCAGTTTTTTATTCAGCTTTCTTTTGAGCAGCTTGCTTCTTTGGAACTTCTTGCTTGGGGGCTTCTTGCTTTGGAGCAGCTTGAACTGGTTTCTCTTCAGCTTTCTTGCCACCGCCGAGTTGCTCGAGCTTCTTGGCGACTCTCTTTTCCTTTCTAACGACGTTCTTAAGTCTTCTGGCTTCTCTTTGTTCAGCGAGTTGCTTTTCTCTGATTTTCTCTTGCTTCATCTTGTGGATTGACTCGATGAGGACACTCTTGTTCTTGAAGAGGTTACCCTTGGATCCAAGATAGAAGTGATGGTAGATATCCTTGGAGATCTTCTTGGCGTCTCTATATTTTCTAAGGAGTCTTCTGAGAACTCTTTGTCTTCTCATCCATAGAACTTTTTGTGGCATTCTGGCGTCCTTGGTACCCTTTCTCTTACCGTGACCGCAATGTCTACCTATTTTAAAGTTGAATATAGGTGAATTATAGGTTACCCTTTCTCTTGGCTTCGTGATACTTCTTAACTCTTGAGGAAGAGTGCATGTGGACTTGTCTTCTCATGATGAGACCATCCTTGAAGAGCTTTCTGATGTTTTTTCCTATAAAATTTAAGATTTCGTAATTTCCTACTTGAGTTAGCAAGTGCAACTTCGCTAGTTTCGTTGGGGTCGATCCAAACTCTCTTTTTACCGCACTTAAGGACTGAGGCGGCTAATCTCTTTTAAAGTCTGAGGAATGCCATATCTGCTTCTTCTTTAAATTAATAATGATATTTACCTAAAATTATTCCTATTTATTACTAGTACCCCCACCGCTGATAATTCTCAAAGATTTCTAACTCATGGGGTTTTGGGGTTTTGGGGAGATCGGAAGAGCCACGTCTAGGGAAAGAG